TTGTCGGAACTAACAGAATAACCCAAAGCGGGAGAGTCTTTGCTCCTACTCCACTACCTCCTGAAGAAGTTATTGAAGAGACTCCTGTGAAATATAAGGGGAAGCATGTAGTCAATGATTCTCCCGAGATTCCTTTTGAACAACAAGTGGAGCAATTAATCAGGGTGATCAAGAAGAGCGATTTCAAGGTGGTTGACCAACTGAATCAGACGCCTGCAAAGATATCAATCTTATCCCTCCTTCTGAAGTGTAGCACCATTCACTGATTCATCAAAAATTTCACATGGCATAAATACACATCACCTATTAGCATCAACATCATCAACACTCCAAAGTCACAACGGATTAGCATCTTATCAAACACAATTCATCATAGCAACATACATCATTGTAGCCTACCTCTTAAGGATCTAAGTATATATTAGCCTAGGTACTAGAAATATACATCTTCTTACTCATTTTATTCCATACACATGTAGTTCATCGCGTTAGCTATCCAACGCTTTGAACAACGCCTCAAACAAAGTTCTAAAACTCAAGTTATGGCTCTTTAAAAAAAGTCCTACTGTTGTCCATCGCCCGGTGCTTGCCCTCGCCTAAGGCTCGCCCTACGACGTGGGAGCGACAACACCATCTATCTTCTCTAGTCTCCATCACTCGACGAAACACCTTGCTCGCCCGACGATGTACCTCTCGCTTCTGCATCGCCCGACGATGCGCGAGTGAGACATCCCTCTCCATACAAAAATCTAGGAGCACCACTTTTCCACCCATTCCTTCGCCTCTTTGCTCGCTCGACAACGACCAAACAACAACTCTCTATTGCGATTCTGCACCTGTTTAGCCCCAAATTTTCTTACGAGTTCATACCAAGACAGTCCATATTTTCATAGTTTTCAACATATAATCATCATACAATAACCACACGAATTTATGGGCATTATATACCCGAACTCATGGCAAATCAACATGGTATTTTCATAAATTTCAACACAAGTTCATCACAATGAAACATATCATCAATATCATCATAAACCCCAACAAATCCCTACATACCTCTAAACCCCATATCAATTATAATGACAGATCACCCCATTACCTTAGATTCATAGCTTGATCTTTCCTCTTCGCGATCTACCGAATTTCTCTATGTTCTTAGTGCCCTAACTTTTTCTCTGCTCTTCCAATGTTATCACGATCATACCAAATGACATTCTTTTCCTTCTATTCTTTGTTTAACCTTAGGATCCTTAATATGTTTTGCCTAATTTGTCCCCACTTAGCCTTTCATCAATTACAACCTTGCCCTTATCTTCTCTACACCAATTATTCCTTTATTTTACTATTAATAATAGTTCTAACTAATTTTAAATAATTATTAACTAATTATCTAAATTTCTAAAATATTCCTTACTCGTCTAAATTCCCATTATCCCACAACATAGCATCACATCACATATCATACTCAACAAAACACCACATATTCATCAATAATTCCTAAATATTTTTAATAACTCATTTAAAGTACTAATTCTAAAAATTAGGGTGTTACACCTACCACGAGTTTAACCCGACTTCTCACATTCTTAGTAATGTGATACTTACAAAGTAATGCATAAGAAGTCGGAAATACCGTTGCAACCAAATTCATTAATGCAGTATTACAGTCGGTAACAATGACTTTCGACATATCTTATTGGTCCTTCGATATTGACCGACAAACCTCTAAAGCCCATGCAAAATTGTCCTTTTTTTCCGCACTCTAGAAATGCAAAACCAACTGAATACGTCTTCTCAGTCGACGTAACACCAACAATTTCCAACAATGACAACCTATATTTGTTGGTCTTATACATTGAATTAATTATAAGCACAATTGAAAATGTATTGAACAATTTAATGGAATCAGGATGAGTCCAATATATATCTCTTACTGTTACTCCATCCTCACATCTTCGGAGCCTAGAATCGTAATTGTTATCATCTAGAAATTTTAAGAGGTGTTGCATTTCGGTTCGATCCCCCCTAAGCGCTAATTTAAATTGATAGCGCCTATTGTACATTTGCTTGATGTTTGAGATATTCTCGGGTCTTTTGCGCTTCGAAGTTGCAAGTATATTTTTGGGAGGTACCAAATTTATTGTCATGTCGGACACACATTCCTTCTCTTCAGGCAAGAGCCGACATGCAATTAAATGACCGACTAAGTTTTCACATAAATCATGTTTGTGTAAACCACATATCATATTAAATCTTCATTTATTATTTGTCAATCGATAACCGCACAACCTAAATGAACATTCACATTTTCTTGAACCGGTGTCATTTCGTATGAAATTTTGGATACGAGGTATATATTTCCCACTTCTTTCGCATATCAAAGTCACAAATGCATTTCTTCTATCTGAACCAATATCAGACCTTCCAATCCCAACACCAAACCCTAGTTTGGTGGCCTCTGTACGAATACAGTGCAACATGTCATCACGAAATTCATACTCTTCTTCATTTTTAAAATGGTACTGAATATCTACCACCTTAGTTACAAGAGGTGAAACAACTTGAGACACATTAGGTTTGAGAATGACATTAGAATGCACCATACCTAATATGATAAAAACATTAAATTAATTAGCATACACAACAAGAAATAAGTTCCTGGAAAATAAGCACAGACAGAAACCAGAAATACATCTCCGATTAAGTTCAACTAACAACTGAAAATCTAATTCCGGTATTCGCGTAACCTTTTCTCAACTGGAAACCAAACTATTGTGAAGAATGAGGATTGTAATGAATAAAGTTTATCTTAAATTTCACTTTCTTGAGTTTCTTTTGATATGATGAACCACAAGAATGAAGATTTTGAGTGAAAAACTTGATTGAGAATTGAATGATTTTTGGAGACGGTTTATGGAAAGTTTAAGAAATGAGGATGATCATTCTTGTCCATGCTGCTTACTATTTTAAGCAATATGACTTTTGAGTTTTTCGGAAATACACATCCGATTTTAAATAAAATATTAAGGTGGCAAAACTTTCAATCTTCCCGCACTTATTAACCGGAGATGCATTCCCGATTTAAGCCAAAAATACATCGTCGGTTCTATTTTGTCTTTACAATATGGTGAAACCACTTTTGATCTTATGGTGTATGGTGCATGGTACGCATCAAAAATGCATTTCCAATTTTTTCTTAGGCATTTTTAGAACTGCATATGTGTTTTTCAATCCTATGGAATGAACTAAGAAATTTTCTTCGATCAATTTGTCATATCGAACTCGAATCCAACCCAAATCAACCGGGTGTCCAACACTACTTCAATCTCAACATGCACCCAAATAAAAATGTACTAAACTAAATTTTAATTGCTAAATTAATTACTAAAATAAATTATAATTTATATTAACTATTAATAAATATTTATATTTAGAAAATATACTAGTTGATTATAATACTTTATTGAAATTAATCTGTTTAACGAATAAAAATGACAATTATTGTGAGGCCCAAGAATAACTATTTGTCTCAGAGGACAAAATTGTAATTACACGTCACTTTCAACTAATCACCTTCTACCACACCATGTAGCCTCCACCACAGCCAAAATCGCCGCCGCCGCCGCCGCCACCGGCAATACCAACATGCCTCGTTCCGCTGCAAACGGCGTTCCAACCTAGCCGTTGTGCAAAATCACTATCCAACCACCCTCATGGTTAAACTTCAATGAGGCTCACCAGTTTTCTCTCCATCACACTGTCGTCTCTCTCCCCAATTAAAGCCCAGTACATGGAAGGTTCTTCAAAGGTAGGTTCTTCAAAAGGGTACATTATGTCACCAAATTGATGCGCTTTCAGCTTTAACTTTATGCTTAGTTCTGCTGACACATGAAGTAGCTATGTTACAACCGGAAACTGCATCGTGTTTTGTTTAATTTGATAACCTGCTATCAAAGAAAGCAAGGTTTATTATTATTTTTATTGTTGTTGTTTGAAATGAAGATTGTGCAATCATGAAAGCAACTGCCATTGAACTACTTTGATTTGTAATTGTCTGACAGATCTGTGAGCAGTAATTGTTATGGCCAGTGTATAATTTTGTGATCCATTTTGGCAACATGACTACATGCCCGCTGTCTTTGACGATTTCAACGCAAATGCGGCTGCCATGGGAGCAAAGACAATCCCAGCTTGTAAAATATTGCTGGTAATTTTTCACTTCATATTCCTTTTTTGTATTTCTGTGGTGTTTGTGTTTCGTTAAGGCCTTTAAGTTATCATCGGTAAGACGAATTTCTGCTTGCCTTCTCTCTGATAAGCAAGGCCAGCAGTGAAAATGTTGTCAGAGAAGTTAGTTTTTTCCTGTCTTTTCCTTCCTTTTTTGAGAATTATTTAATGCGGGTCAAGTTAATATAAAGACCAACAATTTTTTTAGTGTGGGCCAAATAAAACAATGATTAGCATGGGCCAAACCAACACTGACTAGCGTGGACATTGGACAAAGCCCATGCACTATTCCTTATACCTTTGGCAGTTTAGCTAAAACGGAATCGGAGTTCAGCTAGTGTCTATATTTAGCATTGGCTCGATATTGGGCCGATGTTCGGAGGCAATATTGGCTGCAGATCTTACCACTAACATGTCAGAGACAAACGCCTCCTGTCCTTTTAGAGACGACCCCTTTGAAAATACTATTCTTGTTGTCCTAGGGTTCAACTTCATACATTTTAAACCTAAACAAGCATCTATGCTAGCAGCTACCGCTCCTACCAACCTCATGATTTGGCTCTTAAATATAATCCTATAAACCATCCCCTATACCAGCAATTAACTTGTAGCCTTAACAACACCAGAATGATAAACATAAAAAGAGATAACACATGTAATATTAAAGCATGGTATTAATCCAAAATCGGTTTACTTATTTGAGTTGCAAATCGCAACTTTTCTTTTAGACACATAAAAAACAATATTTTACTATACACCAAACATTCCACGACTCAGCGTCGTTGAAAATTTATTGTCTTGATGGATATGGCAAAGACCAATACAAAAAAAAAGGTAAATCCAACAACTACAGCTGCGACAACTCCCAAAAAATCGGTCTTGTAACCAAAGTAACTCCGCAAAAAGTCTTGAATGGGAACAATTTTTCCATCAAAATCCAAATTATCCTTCATATCACCAAACTGTGAAGTCACCAGCCCATTCAGAGTCCAAGCTGCTGGATTTATCCAATAGAACCAACCCCACCATACAGGGATCCTCTGCAAGCCCATGTCAAAAAATTATTAAAAAGAATCAAATAAATGAATTGATTATTTGTAAAGTACAAATATGTGCAGTTAACATCAAAAGGAAAACTAAAACTTACTGTTTGTGGTACTAAGAATCCCGAGAAGAGATTGAACATTGAATTGGATGCACTGCTGAACAAAGCAGCCATAGCTTGGTTTGGGGTTATGGCTGTTGCCATCATGCCATAGTAGGTATAGTAAAGGAAAGTGAAGAACGTGAAAAATATGTACCAAAAGAACTTAGCGGCGGTCCACTCATAACCAAGCAGTGAAAAAACTATAATCGCATAAATCACAGCTTGCAAAAAGTTATAAGGGACTTCAATTAGAGCCTACATGGAAGAAAACTTGAAGATTAGAAAATGCAGACACAAATTTTTTTACATACACTTCATAAATAAAGGACCAATTCAATACTTGCCTGAGAAACAGCATATGCCAACTCCGAATACATTCCTGCAGCCCTTTCCCTGTAAAAGACTACCCGCTCTACTGTTATCACGGGTTGCACTGAACCAGAATTCTTGATACCAATTGTAATAGTAGCAGTAAACAGAAATCCCATGGAATTAAAGAAATCTTGTTGGGTTTCACTGCAACCAATTGATGTGTAAATCCACATTTAGAATTATTAGAAGCAAAACTTAAAGTCTTATATAGCTACTAGTCATTTAAAGTTGGGTCTAATTACATTTTAGCAGCAACTTTCCAGTACACGCCCCCAAGCAACAAGGCAACAGCGATTGTGAAGATAAATCTCATGAAATTGTAATACGGATTGCGCCAGTAAGACCAATGTTGTTTCCATAAACAAGCCATACATTGAACGAAAAAGGACCTCGAGTACTTTGAAGAAAAATCAAGGTCCTTTGAACCGGGAGATGGAGTGCTCAATTCTTCAATAAGAGCTTTGTTTCTCCTGCAACAAATGTCACGTAAGTTTTTACTTAAATAACAAATCACAACAAAAAAATGTTTTGTGCTTTTTGCTGTTATTTGCTATCTAGCATATTGTTTTGAAGTTCAATACTTCACAGAACACAAAATACCTGTATAATGCTGAAGTCTTGTACACCTTGGCAAAATTAATCCCCGTTTCCATTTCTTTTGCCGCACTCGAGACTTCCAACATCCAAGTTGCTGGATTGTAGCCATCTTTAATCCTAGTGACACCTTGAATTTCCTTTATGAAAAAAAAGTTCTCAAAAGGCAAGTTTCACGTTTGGATAGATTAGAAATGCAAAACATGAACTTCAGTTAAAGAAAATTCAAAATTATTTTACCTCAAAGTAGTTAATTAATTGTGAAGAATGACGTCCAAGTGGCCCCACATATATCTCTTGTCCTCCCCGCCTCATTAGGAAAAGCTTAATTTCATTGAAAGTAAGGATAAAGTTTTGTTAAAAGAAAGCAACAAACTAATTATAAAACTTTGATAAATTTTAGCTCTTGTTTACCTCGTCAAAAGATTCAAAGATATCAATGTTGGGCTGGTGAATGGTACAGACAATTGTTCTTCCGGTATCTACTATGTTCCTAACTGCTCTCATAACAATAGCTGCAGCTCTTGCATCTAGCCCAGAAGTTGGCTCATCCATGAATATGATCGAAGGATTAGCAACCAACTCAACTGCAATAGTCAACCTTTTTCGCTGCTCAGTTGAGAGACCGGTAACACCGGGGAGACCAACATATGCATCCCTTATTGAGTTCAGCTCAACTAGCTCCATGACTTCCTCAACGAACATCTGTAAGCAACTATTAGTCAGCTCCAAATTTTAACATACATAATAGTTCTATCTACGAATGGTAATGATTATGCTAAATCTGGCAATTATGCACTAGGGTACTGAAAATTTACTTGCAAAATAATAAATACAATTACATATGAATTTGAATACAACATCAAACAATTTAGAATAATTACTTGCTCATCATCCTTGTTGTGTCTAAATAGGCAACTTAAAAGCAATATGGTGAATGAGGCTAACAATAATTGTATCATACTTAAAAACATATTAGAACTTAACATGAAAGTCAGGTGTGTGCGCTTTAATTGATGCAAGTTGCAACAATGTGTGTATGCACATTGTGTAGGTAGAAAGATGGGTGTGGCTGTCAAAATATTCTGTGTATAGAAAATCATATACAACATGATATTCTAATACCAACCTTCCTAGTTTCTGTATTGATTTCCGCAGGCAATCGAAGCCATGCTGAATAGAGCAAGGATTCATAGACAGTAATATGAGGAGAGTGTATATCATTTTGCTCACAGTATCCCGAAATTCTTGCAAATGTATCTTGCTTTTTGGGATACCCAGAAACTGTGATGTTCCCAGTAATATATCCCCCGCTTTTTCTACCAGCAAGTACATCCATCAAAGTTGTTTTTCCAGCACCAGTGACACCCATAAGTGCAGTGAGAACACCTGGCCTAAAAGCTCCGCTGACACGGTTCAAAAGAACCAACCTATCTTCGGTGACACCGTGACTCCTCATTTCCTTCAAGTTTAGAACAAGGATTTAATGAAACTCAAAATTAAGAACTGAGAGTGGAATGCAAATTTTTTTCCGATTAAGTATATACTACCTGAGGCATGTCTACAGAGTATGAGACTTCATCAAAGGTTATAGAATGTGGTTCGAAAGGAAGAACCATTCCTCTTTTTCTTCCACTATTCTCCCTATTGCTTTGAGATTGCTCTGATTTCACAGCCTGACGCTTCTCAATTGCTGCATAATTTGTGTGAAATATTTATTCATACTTTATGCTCATTTTTTTTGTTGTAAAATATTTTAATTAATGTAAAGAAACTCACGATTGAAGTAAGATAGAGCAAGAGTGTAACAAAAGTGGAACAATAACGTGTATCCAATCATTGCCCCAAAAGATATCCAATACCAGTACCATTCTGTAAAGAACCCTTTAGATTTCAAAACTTGAACTCCTAGAGGTTCAGTTGAGTTAGGAAGAACCTTTCAAAAGAAAATATGTATCCAGTCAGCAGACTATATTTATTAGATATAGAAAATGTAGATGAAGAATAGTGCAGATCATACTTTTCCCCAAGCCTTCCCTAGGAACTCGTTATTCATTAAGCCATTCGTTGCGTACATTATAGGTGATATCCAGTAGCCCCATAACCACCCTATTTTTATACTATCTGAAACCAAAAAGTAGAAAATGGAGGAAAATATTGTTATTCTGAATTCTAACAATAATATATATAGAAGAAACATTAACTCTGACTACTTCAATCTATGGGCTGTAGTACCTCTCGAGACGGCAAAACCACCCATGGCAATGAGGAAGGTCAATAGAAATGACCCAAGTGTTGTAGCCACAGCCATTTCTCTACCAATTGCTCCTAGTAATCGGAATAGTGAAGTGCCCATTTGGTTGATAAGTATGAGAAGAAAGTATTGCTTAATTAATCTGCATTTACTTAATCGTATACAAAAGACACCGTTAATTACACATTAGGGTTCAAAGTGATACTGAGTTGTGGAATACTTGTCAAGCTTTACTGAATAAGTATTGATAAATTTCTTTTTTACCTTGCAAATTCAGGACTGTAACCGATGACGTAATAGGTAAGAAATGTCCAAGCAGCTGCTTCAGCAAATGTTAACGGGATTTTCAGGATCCATGTAGGAAGAGCATATGCCCAAGAAGGGTAGAAGAGAAGGTCCCTTTGCTTGTAGAACACTGGAAGCCTCGCAATCGTCGTCGCAAGATCAGCAAATCCATTAAACATGACCACCAAATTTCCGAAGAACAATGCACCGGCATAAATGCCCCCATCAATCACTGAATTGCGGTGCATTCCAGTTCGGAGAAAAACAGTCATGGTAACAATAGCCATTACAGAAATCTTAAAAGGAGGAGGAATGAATCAGTAATGGAGTAACAGGTACATAGTTTATTTATACATAAAATGAAAAATTATAATGTTCTAATTGTTTAAACCTACTTGGCAAAGTTTGAATTTATAGTAAAATGCATTGCGCTTCATAAGTAAATATTCTCTTGCTATGCAAGCTTTGAATAATTCCCACTTTCCAATTCCATATGTGTTGGTAGTCAAAGCAGCTGGGTGGCTTTTAGACTTGTCAAATGGAGTAACAAGTTCATTACCAAGAGTTCTCCCAACATGAAATGACTCAAATATCTCAGCAAAATCCTTAGGTGTCACAAATTTATAAGGCTTCCTTCTTTCTACCCAATATTGCTCCTGATCTTTCATTGATGTCACCTACAACAATATGTGCAAAATTAAACTGTTAAAACTCACTCCTATCCATATAGCCTGTAGAAAGAAGATAAGGATACACTTACTTCTTGTAAAAAGTCTGCCACAGATTTTCTCTCAGGACACTTAAAACCTAATGAACCAAAAAATTCTAGCACATGTTCACAAGGACCCTGGTACACAATGTGTCCCTCAGAGAGTAGAATAATGTCGTCAAAAAGATCATAAGTCTCTGGTGGTGGCTGCAACAGTGAGATCACAGCGGTTCCCTTGAGAAGTTGGACCGACTGCTTCACTGATTTCACAACTTGATAAGTTGTTGAGCTATCCAAACCAGTTGATATTTCATCCATGAAAAGAGCCTTAGCTGTTCCTACTAGCATCTCCCCTGTATTAATATATTCATAACGTTTTCTCATTGCCACTATATTATGGTGAATCATGATGTTATTAATCAATATTGAAATCATGTTTTACCTGTCGTAACCCGCTTCCTTTGTCCTCCAGAGACGCCTCTTAACATTGCACCTCCCACCACTGTATCTGCACAGTTCTCTAGTCCCAAAAGCTGAAAATATAAAGCAAATAAAACTAAATTAGTTATTACCCTATGAGGATCAAAGAAAGCTTTGAGTGTATGAACTTTTACCTTTAAAGTATAATCAACTGCAAGATTTTCTTTCCCGCCAGTTGCGACAGCCTAAACATATTTCCAAGTCACAAGTTCATTATCCATTATATTCGTAATTGAAAATAGGAAAGAAAAAGATGTTGTGCCGTCTCCTACCTTCATATAGATATCGATATCTGGATCAGGGAATATGTTTCTCTCAACTTCTCTTCTAGATACTTCTTCTAGCATATCTGCATTTTACCGAAGATATTTTCTATTCAACTTAGAATCACGTTTTCAAATGTCAAATGTTTTAAAATTGCATCGAGATGAAACATTTAGAAAAAAAATGCAATGTCATGTACTAACCTATTCTAGGCCCTACACCTTGGAATCTTGCTGAGAAGGCTAAAGTTTCTCTAACTGTCAACTCTCCAATGTGAAGATCGTTTTGACTGACATAAGCAGCAGTTCTTTGAGGTACAAACTCATTCATCTCATGACCATTATAAGTCACCTTTCCACTGATCTGATTAAGAAATTAAAAAGTTTTAGCTGGCTAGAAATCCAAAATACATTTAGCAATTCATTACCATGTTTTCATTTGTCTTAAATAACCTTTAGATTGGGATCAAGTTTTCCAGCCAAGGCCAAAAGGAGTGTCGTTTTTCCAGAACTTGGGGGGCCCAAAAGCAATGTCATCCTGGAGATATATAGGTTAGCATATATAAATATATTTGAATTTCAACCAAAGTTCTCTTTGTTCTTGTGTTTCTAATGATACATGGAAATTGGAATAGTTACCTGCCAGGCTTTATTATTCCACTAACATTCTGGAGAATGTCGAGATGTTGTCTTCTTTTTCTTAGTATATAGTTAAAAGGAGCCTTCAGAATCCCAAACAAGTAAAGAAAATTGAATTAGTATACAAGAGTTTCTCCATGAATAGTATATAACTGTTGGTGTTCAATGATATTACTGACCTCTATCAGATCAAGAGTGTAATTAATGAGAGTAGGCAAAGCTCTCTTTCCTACTTGAACTTCTGCTTCGATCTTCAAGTGCTCAAATCGGACTTCGATTGTAGGAAAATTAATTCCAACTCTGGGATGTCATGCAATGTCGAAAATATTAGTGCTCTTTATGAGAAGAAATGAAAATGGGTTATTAATATGCATTAAGAGTAGAAATATCACCTATGAACACGATCCCTGAGCTTTAATAAGAACTTCTCATTATCAATATCAGCAATTCTCACTAGTCTTTCTAGCAAAAACTTTTTTTCTTCCTGCTTAAGATGGTGTATATCAATTTCACTAGCTTCTCCTTCAGAGTTCATCAACAAACCTGTCCTTAAACGCGCAACAGTTGGAAGTCTCTGAATTGCAGCCCATTTCAAAGCCTCTTCTTCATCATTGTCCTCTCTATTAACAGAATTAGGAAACAGATACTCCACATCACTGCTCTTCCTTCGCGACGAACTTTCAATCTTGCTGTTTCTGAATCTTCTCTCATCATCAATACTAGTCTCCATTTGCAATTCCCTTCTAACTCAATTCTATGAGTTTGTGTGATTTACATATAACATGTCCCTATAAATAATATTTTTTGAACAACTTAAAATTGATGTAGTTAAGTTTTTAGCATGTATGTATGATTATTCTTTTCTGTTGTTTCTTATTTTATGTCATTTCTTGATTTTGTTGATTTCACATTTTTGCCTTTTTAACAAAATACACATACATTGTAAATTGTATATTGAGTATACTTTCCACTTTTTATGATAGATTCACACGTATTAGTTACTTGTTTTTGTGATTTTTACAAGATTTCTTCAAAAGTTTATGATATCTAACATTTGATTTTGGTCAAAATACTGCATACTTGAAGATTATGATTTTATTTTTTTAGATACTTGCGTCACGATTAAGCTACTAAATGCTAATCTTTTTGACTCAATTTAATGCTAAATTGCTCATCTTAAACTATAATATTGGATTATTAAGATTATGCTGTTTGCGATTTAAAAAAAATTATTATTGATATTTTAATTATGTTTAAGTATTTGTTTATTAATATTTTTCAAAAAAACAATTTTTTTATTTAAAATGAAATATTTATTCAATTAATTTTAATAGAAGATAGAAAAGAAATATTTTACCGTGTTTATAAATTTCCACTATATTATTGAAAAAATATTTTAACGCGTATGTTATTTTTTAATAATCTTGTAATTTGACGAAATGCTGTAGCGCTAAGCTCTGTTGACCTAAATAGTAAAAAACATTAAAGAAAATACTAAACCTAAATGAATTTTAAAAATTACATTTACTATGTCTACACATGTACATTACAAGATTTTTTCCTCTATTAAAAAACAAGATTTTATTTACCTAAAAAGATTATCTGACTTCTTGTAAAAAAGGATTTCTTACTACAATAATAAACTAATGATATCTTTTATTAACAAAAAAATTAAATGTTTTTTTGAAAAAAGTTGAAAATAGAAAATAGATTAAATAGTTTTTTTTTGTAAAATTATTATTTTTAGATAATTAAATTAAAATGATATTTAAAATTAAAAAAAAACCATGAATAGTTTTCATAAATATTACTCTATCAGTTTCAAAATAATTGTCTTTCTGAGTTCAAAAAGTTGTTTCAAAATAACAGTATCTTTACTTTTCGAATGTAATTTTACCAATTTAATTTCTTATATATATTCTTTTTAAATATGACAATATATTACAATTATTATAAAAGATAATTTTGTAAAAATATTATTTTTATTGATTCAATCATTATTTTTTTTAATCTTCGTATAATAACTTTAAACGACTATTATTTTGAGACGGAGGAAATAATACTCTTAATGATCAAATTAACAAATGGAAGAGATGAAACTTACAAATATGTGAATGAATCATACTTTGATGTGACTCTATGTCCCAATTATATAGGGAGACATTTAAAACCTTCATCGGATAACACAACACGAGACGTGATAACACAACACGAGACGTGAGATGCCATTAGATGAATATCAACGATTGAGATAAATTGGACCTTCGTGTTGGACTAATCTTATTGGATTGTTGGCTAGCTCAGAACAAATACCAAGATCAAGCAAGCATTGCCATGCTAACCAATCAACTCAACACAAAAATGAGGTATTTATAAGTCGAGGTGATTCTGATGCATCACGTATTTTTTAATATTTTTATTTTCTAAGCTAATACTTTTCCATAGTTTACCTTCGAGTTAACCTTCGAGTACCTCAGAAAAAATGATCCGTATAATCAATCTAATCTTTAATTTGGACATATACAAATCCCCAACAGATCACTTGAAATAGTAAGACTAATTAGTATGCTGCAAGTACCTTTTTATGATAACACTATGCAAGTGAAGAACATGTCTCACGCTAAATGGGTATGTCTGTCCTATTTAGGAATTTCTTTCAAAGCTCTCCACAAAATGAGATGGAACAAGCAGAGGGGGAAAACCGATAACCTTAACTAGACCTACCAATAATGATAGGTTAAATAGACAGACTCACCTTGTTTATGCACGCGTATGTAAGAGCTTGCTTAAAAATTGGATGAATCGTAAACCCTAGCTTAATCTGGCAAAAATAAGAGAATTTAACTTGTCACCTTTAGTTATACTTAAACCCCCCGGTAAAAATTGGACCTAGTGACCGATTAGTGTTCACAGAGTATGTTGACCATGTCACATACTGATTATGGAAGAGAGATGTATATATATATATTTTATGTTTAGCTTTAATTAATTTATTATTGTTCTATGATATGTTGAAAGTTTACTGATAATCTTTTAACTTTGTTTTATACACAGGACCGTCAACCGCTGAAGGTGATGTCCCATGGTTCAAAGATGAAGAACTTCCCTAGTAGTCTTATGTTTGAGCATGTCAGGCGTATTCTTGTTGATTTTGCTCTCCTAGAGTTCGCCAACTGCTCACTCACCATACTGGACGCATCACTTCTGTCTACTTTTGTTGAGCGATGATATAAGGAGACATATTTCTTTTATCTTTCATTTGGGGAGATGATTATCATTTTGGATGATGTCTCCTTCTTGTTCCACCTCCCTATTGTCGGTAGATTCTTTACTGTTCCTAATATTAACCAGATGCTTGCATGTATGAGAGTTGTACATAATTTGAGAGTTATTGAGGAGACCGTGCTAAATGAGTTTGATTTTAAGAGGGGAGTTCATCTTCATATGTCTTAGCTTCGGGATAGGTACAAGGAGCTCGTGGAGGCACATATGTATGAGGTTGCCGCTAGGGTGTACATTCTACATCTAGTAACATGTACTCTCTTTGCGGATAAGTCTCATTTTTATATTGATGCTCGTTATATGTGGTTGTTCAGTAACCTTGTTTCGCGGTGAAAAATCGAAGAGATCAAGCTATTGAGGAACTTGACTCACAAAAGACTTAAGAAGTCACCACCGAACTTTATTGTTTCCAAGAAAAAGGGAAAAGATCGAAACCCTAATATTTAATATGCAATGCAAGAAGTAAAAACTAAAAGAAAAGCATAAGGAAGAGATCCAAGGTATGAGAGTTGGTTGTACAAAGGAAAATTATTAGCATCCTATGTATCTATAGTACTTTATAGAAACCATTTATAATATATGTTTTTGGTTTAAAATTGTTTGTTTGCTAAATGAGTGTGGAGATGAGAAAATAAATATATTTTAGGATATTTTTGTTTGGAAAGACATAGTCTTATACCTACGTATCTATTAAGGATTAAAACCTCGTAGTTTGTGGTAAAAATGACAAAAAAGTTTGTTGTGTTTGATTTTAGAAGAAGAGATATTTCATCATCTTTTTAGAGAGAATACTCAACTAATACCACCACAAGTATGAGAAGATGGATTTTGCACCATCATGAAGGAAGGGCTACTAACTTGGATATAAAGATCATCAAGTTGCCAACTAGCGTCTTCATGTGGAAAAAATCACATTTTTTCAACAATTACATGGGGATAGGAGAATCATATCTCAACTATGAAGAAGATTTATATCTAATCTCTTTGAGAAAAGGTTTTAAATTGAAAAGTTAAGTGGCAAAAAGATTTGAGTGAGGTTGAGTCACTTTTAGCCTTTTGAAAGAGTTTTAATATTCTTAAGTATATTGAAGTTTTTATTAAAGAAAGTTTGAAAATGCAATGACACAAAGTCAAGGTTTTTATATGAAAGTGGTGAAAGTTTGAAAATGATTTTTTAGGGTTAAGAGATTTTTTTAGAATACAAAGGTAAATGCACAAGCTCATGACTATAAAGTCAACAATATTATCCTTTTCCTTAGATTTTGGAGGGGAAATCAAAATATTAATCATTAACATGATAGTAAACACACACATCACAATTGTTAAACACAAAAGAAAAAAGTTAAGATGCTTATCAAGTAAAAGTTGTGACAAAAGATAGGATAAACAAACAAGTAAACAAGTAAGCTTGGTATCACTTTTGGTTTTAAAGGAGTTTATGAAGAAAATACATGGGCAAGTAATCTCAAGGCACATGGATAAACAATCCAGGGGATCAAAGCATATGAAGTTTGAAGTAATGGGTTATGGATTAGGGTTTTTGAATAAGTTATGGTTTAAACATAAAAATTCAAGTCCTAAATCTAATTAAAATTAATTTTTCATGGTACAAATATACATAAGGGTCATATTATCAAACAATATTTATTAGTGATATGACATAGTTATTTAACAATGGGTTTGTTCAAGAAAATTAACAAGAGAAAGTCAAAAAAAAAAAGGTTTTTAAAACAACTAAAAAGGACTTGTTTTGAATTAAATACAAAGAGATGAAATAAATAATTTTTTTTTTTGGATTTTTCACATATTTATAAAATAGGATAGATAAATGAGGAGTGTGCAAAAAATCAACTCAAAACGAGTTGTTTTGATTGGTGAAAATTAATTTGAAAGTTTGTTAAAAAAACTAAAAGAAAATGAATGATAAATAAGGAAAGAGGCTGCCAAGGATTGAATCCACACCCTCAAAGTCATTGGTCAAAAGATCTACCACTGGGTCAGGCGATATGCCTTGTACAAAGGATGCGTGAAGTTAAAAATATTTGAAAACAAAGTCAGAAAATCACAAAATAGAAAAATATGAAAAAATGGCAAAAAGGGGTTTCACACTGGTTCGAACCCTCGCCCTTATTAACCAAAGCCTTAATACACACATTCTTGCCACTAAGGTGGTTATTTCATTCGTTCATTATATAACTATTAATAAATATAAAATAAATTCAATTTTTCAAAAAAGGATTTCCCGCCACCCTTCTTCTTCTTCCTTGTAACGACAACAATAACAACCTCCATTGTCAATCATGTAAAAACTTCATTTCTCAACCATTTTGAAAAGTGTAAAAATAAAAGTTGTTCAAAATTTCATTAGGAATTCAACCATACCAACTGATAAGTGCAAATTGTAGTTATTTTTGTATATACTTTTTGTTGCACTTATAGACTTTTTGT